TGGCCATGAAGCGTTTCCCACACTCAGGACACTCGTAAGGTCTCTCCCCGGTATGGATTCGGCGATGGGTGGTGAGGGCTGAGTTGGAGGTCAAGGTCTTGCCGCAGTCTGGACAGCGGTGGGGCGCGTTCTCCAAGTGGAGGCTCCGGTGTTTCTTCAGAGAGTGGGTAGAAGCGAAACGTTTCTCACAGTTGGGACATTTGTAGGGTTTCTCTTGACATTGGGTCTTCTGATGATCCTTCAAGGTGGAGCTACAGTTGAAGCTTCTCCTACACTTGGAGCAGGTGAAGGGTTTCTCCTCCGTGTGGACCCTCTGATGACGGTTGAGGGATGAACCATGGCTGAAGATCTTCCCACACTTCTTACAGGTATGTTTGTGTTGTCCCAACCGTGTTCTCGATGGACTTTTGGTGTTGGCTTTTCTCCCATGGTGGTTGGAAGATGATGATGATGATCTCCTTCCTGAGTGGTTCTTGTGTTGCTCGTAACCCACTGAGATGCCACCTTTGGTTTTTCTCCCAGGTCGACCATGAAATTCTCCATCTTCATCCTGGGAACTGTCCTCCTCCATCTCACTCGTCCACCCATCATCTCCTGGAGGAAAAACAAAGGGGAAAAAGAAGGACAATCCAAGTCTATCTCCATCTTGAAGACACCAAGGTGGGAGCTGGAGAAGGGATGGGGAGAAACACCCACCACCAAAGGTGATGGACTTCATCCCTCGGTTCCATCTGGCTACGCTCATCCAGATGATGTTCTGGTATCTCCAGTTGCCAAAGCTTAATTGGGTCCTTCTAACCCTGCAACCCCCCCCCCTTCCCCTTTCCCAGTTACACCAGTTTCCAGTGTGACCCTTCTTACTGGAGACCAAGAGTGATGGAAAACGAGTCCTTTACCTGAGTAAGAGGAGTTGGAACCAGAGAAGCTCCCGGTATCTCGGCAGCTTCTCCATCGTTTCCTTTTCCTCGTCCACAACCTCAAGAGGGGTTTGGCCCGTTGTTCTTCCTCCTCTTCCTCCTCCGAGCTCTGGATGTTGGGGATCCAAACCTCATCTCCATGTTCCAGTTGAACCAGCAGGTCAGGGTTGTACACGGGGAAGCCTGCTGAGATAGACAACGTTGGGTTATTGGGGTTGGTAACAACCATCTGTGACTCCTCGTTATGGAGGAGATCGAGGGTGTGACCTTAAAACTCATCCCTCTTCCAAGAGAGAAGGAAAAAATCCAGGTCTTCAAGGAGGGGAAGACCCAACAAAGCTTGTTGAGGGTATCTACAAGAGCTTTCCAGGTGATGGAGATGGTATCTCAAGGAATAAGAAGCTTGAACCAGAGCAGAATCAACCCTGAGACCTCTTCTGAAGAAGGCAAAGTGAGATCAAGATGAGTTGAGAAAGGTAGAGGTTGTCCATCTGGAAAGACTCAAGGAATATGGAGCAGGAGAAGAAGGAAGGTTGGAGAAACCAGGAGTGGAACCAGGAGATGTTGGAGAAGCAAGGTGGGGGTGAAAACACAACTTCAACAGGCACCATTAGGCCAAATCATTGCCATTAATTAATTAATTCTTCTCTGGAGGAACTCAACGTGCCCAAGGACGTGGCAAGATCATCTCATGGGTGTCACCTAGAAGATGAGCAGGAACCTGCGAGGTGAAGTTGAGAAGATCGAGGTGTTGATGTCACCCAAAATGAAACCAAGTTAGAAAAGAACAACAACAAAGACCATAAAAAAAATGGGAAACCACCAGAAGGAGGAGATGAAGTTCACGTTGAGTCATCTCCCACCCAAGCCAACATCAACCAGACCTTGAAGTCTTCTTCACCCCACCCCAAGTACCCTAAAAAAACCCCAATTTGGGGTCAATTGGGGGTCAATTTGGGGTCAATCTTGGTTGCTCCTCTCCTGGACCATCAACTCCTGTCTGATGGTTGAGGACCTCGAAGTTCCTCCCAGTGTCCTCATGTTGGGTGGCCAGGAGAGGGCGCTGTGAGCCCAGAGGAGCCCCCTGAGCCCCCCAGGAGGTCGTCCCCCCCCCAGATT